GGGGATGTACAGGGTCTTCGTTCGGCAGCGGCTAGTCGTTTCCGGCGCAAGTGTGTACACATGGGAAATCATGGGATTGACGTTTGGCAGCCCTGGGTCAGACGCGGGTTCAAGCGGGTCCGGGCTCTGATTGGTTGCGTAGTGCTTTGATTCTCAATGTATGACGATTTGACCTCATTCTCTCGCTTCTTGTACATGTATACCGCCGAACACTAAGGTCTCACAGCACATAGCAGATAGGTTGACACGACACGCTCGTGCGTGGGGCTCGCGCGGCTGCGATGCGGATAAGAACAGAGAGATGGGCTTGGCAGACGTTTTGCTGCTCGACTTGGGGAATGTTGGAATTAGCAGGAATCGATGATCACCACTCTGACCTTTGCTCCCCGGAAACGCGGCGCAATCAATGGACCGCGGCAGTCGTCCCAGTCCTCGGGATACCGGTTCGAGGCGCATCTGGTGTGGGAACAAGCAAGGTTTGAGTCGTCTTTTACTGTTGGAGGTCGTCTGCGGGTGGACCGTGCCAATTTTTTATATCAAGCTGGCACAGGATTGGCTTAGCCTGGCGAGCCGATGACGGGCTTTTCTCTCGATCCGAGTACCCCAGAGCTGACACAGCAATCGAGGGCAGCCTCCCATGACTGATACGGGGCGCAGAGCAACATCGCCGATCTTTAACTATCCGTCCAGCATGGATGACCACTTCAAGTTGTTCTCTCTTGAACATGGTCCTTGTCCGCTCTGCGCTCTACTGCTAGACTCCACCACCTCTCGCCATTCCGCGAGCTCTTGTGTTGCCACCCCGCGTGCTTGTATATATCCCGACCTTGTCTGCCCAAGATAATATCATCCCTCTTCGGCAGTCTCCGTCGTCACCCGTCCCTGCATCAGCACGCGCGTTGCTGATCCGCCCTCGTCCCAGCTTCCGGAAGAATCGAGCGTTCCGTGAAGACGTTTTAGCACATTCTTGCCTATTGTGAAGGTTTAACTATCTTCGAAATACGCAATCTCGCTGCCCGACTCGACTCCCGCCCTCCTTCCTTGTCCTGCCCTGCACACCTGCAGTGCGCACCTACTCCACGACCAACCAAACCCACAACCCGACCCCACCGACGGGCCTGCGACTGTATATGGCTGCCGGAGCCATTGTACAACATAGCGAATCTACATGAATCGTCAACGGACAAAAGGGTGCTCCATCGTCGAAAGCGTTGAGCATTCCTTTGAGCCTCAGTTTCCTGCACAGGCCTTCATGTGCGACGATGAGCGCTCGGCAGAGGCTTCGGAGGCGGTAGCCTTGGACGCCCATTGTGACGCCCGACAGATGGTCCGTCTAGTCCAGTGTCCACGATGCTCGAAACCTCTGAGTGCCCCAGTCACCCTGCCTTGCGGTCATACCGTCTGTCGCGGCTGTCTGCCTCCTCCACAACCTCGTACCAACATATCATATCCAAACACACCAGATCGCCTCATGGGCATTTCGTGTCCCCTGATGGGCTGCGGGGCCGAGCACGCTTCTGCTGAGTGCTCTGTCGACGTGACGTTGACCAAGTTGATGGACCTCATAAAGGCTGAGATAATTGAGCACAGGCCATCTGCGGAAAATACTCCGACACTCCTCGTCGAGGTACCCCAGCATGAAGATTCCCCTTTGGATGAGAAAGAGAAGGAAAAGCTTAGCTATCATGGAAATCAAGAGGAACTGCATGGAGGACGCCTCGTGTCCACGTTTACCATGGCTGAAATGGGCAAACTTCGGTACTCTTCCGAAGTCCACTACCAGTCACTATCGGCAAGCGGGGACGATTACGAGCATCTTGACATCACGCTCCTGGAACGCTTACGCGACGTAACCCACAAGGAGTTAGACTGCCTTGTCTGTTACAACCTGATGCTGGACCCAACAACAACATCGTGTGGTCATACATTTTGCCGTCGTTGCCTCGCTCGCGTTATGGACCACAGCAGCATTTGCCCTTTCTGTCGAAGAGGCCTGCATGTTCCTGCCTCACTACAGAATCAATCTAGCAACGTCATACTCAACTCTTTGTTGAATGGACTTTGCCCGGATCTGGTGAGTGCTCGTGCTGATGCTCTCAAGGCGGAAGAGCAGGCGGGAGACAACGTGTTGAACGTTCCGCTCTTCATCTGTACACTGTCGCTGCCCTCTATGCCGACATTCCTTCATGTCTTTGAGCCTCGCTATCGATTGATGATGCGGCGCGTCATCGAAGGTAGCAGACAATTCGGCATGGTTATGTACAATCGCACACACGCACCCCAAGGCGATCTTGGCTCGACTCCGTTCCTGGAGTATGGAACACTACTTGAGATTGTCAATTACGAGTTACTGCGCGATGGGCGTAGCTTCATTGAAACACGTGGTATCGGACGATTTAAAGTGAGGGCTCATGGCCTACTTGACGGGTACAACGTCAGCCGCATTGAGCGTGTTGAAGATGTTTCTCTCGCCGAGGAAGCTATTCTGGAGCAGCGTGAGACCACTATGGCACGGGATTACGCGGAAGCATTCTTCCGCGACCATCCTCAAACCCAACTCCCTACGGAAGTCGCAATCGAGACATTATCCACGCAACAGCTACTTGATAGCTGCACAGCATTTGTACGAGAAATGAGAGAAGCCAGTGCGCCCTGGCTTCGCGAACGGATCATCCAAGTCTATGGCGAGCCACCCGAGGACCCCGCAATCTTCCCATATTGGTTTGCATCTGTAGTACCAATCGTAGAAGAGGAAAAATACGTGTTGTTACAGACTGAACGGGTCCGCGAGCGCCTCAAGATTGTGTACTCGTGGATTGGAAGGATCCGCGGACAACGATGGTAAGCACTCACCTTCTTTATTGTTTACATCCTGCATCTACACCACATCGGATCCCGGCCCAAGAACCCAGGCGCATGCGTACCCCTTACGCGACACGAGCATAACGGTGATCATTCCTTTGTCGTGCAGCATGGTCGCTGCAACTAGAGGTACTTCATCCCTTGTGCGCTGATCATTATGACGAAAGTGACATGCATAAGCTGCCTGAAGCTTACATGTCTAACCACAAGAGATGTATCCGACGTGTTTGATTTCGTGGCACTAGCTGACAATACATTGACAGGTCCTCGGGCAATGCATGCAGCATCTTATGACTCCTGATTGCTCTCATTACCATCGGAATCGCGCTCCTATCTACGCCTCCACCTCAACCTACCATCCATTCTCGATAAGAGAATGAGCAGCTTACATCACATTAAGCTTACAACTTCTCAAGATCACCAGATACCCTTCTCTCATGGCCACAATTTGATACCAAACTCAACCTCTCATGTCTTTTCAGGCATTAGGAGAGGCTTTTTCTTTTATGTATTGCATTATTTTACGTCACGAAGATTCCATTTGTTACCATATGTCCTTTCGCTTCTTCAACGATTACCCCCTTTCAGGAGGACCCGGAGCTTGCCGTGGTCCATGTTCAAATGACTTTTTTAGACCCAGGTGCTAGCCTGGGAAAACTTTTTTCTGGACGGTTTTCGAAAAAGGTTTTGGCATATTGCGACGAAGGGTGGGAGTAACTTTGCATTTGATAGGCGTTTCTTTGGTCTTGTCGCATTTAGCGGGGCTGCTCCAGTTAGAGATTGGCAGAAGGTGGCTTTGTAGATACTAGAGTACTTGTGAATGGGTGATGTGTATATCCATCTTGTGCACTAGAATTCACCTCACCGTAGTCCGCGAAGAAGAAGATGCGATGTGATACCCGCAATGTACGCATTACCTAGGTGTAACTACGTCAAGCGTCATGACATTGCAATCTTACTATGTCTTCATCTTTCTAGCTGCGAAGACGACCTTGAGGGGCATCAAACATCTTACGACCAAATGAAAAGTTCTATCCCTACTAAATAGACCTTAGAAGTATAAACTATTGATTTCTGTCTAAACTGTTATAGAGAACTTTCCGTATACCTTTAAGGTTGATCTTTCCAAGGCTAATATAGACTTTAGTGATAAAGTTTTCAACGCTCAATACACATTTCTTTTCTTGTTTGATCTGAAGCTACAAAGGCAACAAGTTCAAAAAAAAAAAAGTACACAACGATCTACTAAGACAGCAGAAACACCTCTGTATTCATTGTGTATACGACCATCATCAAGCTAGCCCCTAGAGTGAGTGCTTCTGTAGCCGTCGCCTCTGATCTTGTTAGAACACAGTCTGATGGTGGTTAACTATATCAAACAAGAACGCCTCAGTTCTCGTCGCGACCTTTCCTTCTTGCTATCTACGTGCAGCATCTTCCTAGCTGTTGGTAGAATCATGAGCCTAGTTTCTTCCTCCTGTATACGAAAACGTTCCCGGATTGCATGCGTCCTCTGGGTGTCTGGTGGCGTGGTACTCTCGTATATCCTTCAGGGTGGAAGAACACGATGTCGATACGTCCAAGAACCATGAGAGGGTCTTCCAGAGAACCTATAGGCCTGAAGAGGTAGTCCCGCCCCATGTCCAGTCCAATCTTGGCGGTCTCTAGTAGCATTATTGTGAGCTCATCTTCCACTGCTTCCAGCCATAATGAATCATAGCATCGTTTGTTGTCCACCAGGTGTTAGGTGACTTCGGAGTTGCTGGTACGTGCAAAGGTGGCGCTGATTTGACATGTTCTTAAGATGGATTCCATGAGCAGCGCAATTGCTGGGGACGATGACGATAGAGCGGGAAGAATGCGAGCGATTTTATCGAGTACTTGCTGCGGTTTGAGGTATATGAAGAACAGCCATTTGTCCTCATCGTAGTCAATGCCGTCGTCAATGCCGTTGACGCTGTCATCAGTTGGCATTTTGCATGTCTGGTGGGCGAGGGTCGCGGATTTGACGAGCGCTTCCTCTTTTTACCGAGATGGACTGCTAATTGGGCTGGTGAGATACTGGCTGGAGAAAGAGAACGGAAAAGAAGATGGTTGTTCATTCTGTCCCTGCTCAGAAAGGTGAAGTGGCAATCTACATATTCGTAGAGCGGGTCGGCCATCAGGGCGAAGTTTGGCACATGTGCCTTCTGACGATGCTGCAGCACATCGCCTTCGCCGGGGAAGATCTTCTTACACACTGGGCAGTCGACTGTAAGCGTTATGTCCGTGTGATGAGTGCGCTTGTAGTTCTTGAGGGCGCCCACTAAGGAGAAAGTCCTCTCGCATACTGAGCATTTGACTTTTGGCTCTGGGGCACGGTTGTGCGTCTTTTCGTGGCGCATCAACCCATGTTTATCCTTGCAGATCCTACCACAGACAGAGCAAGTGTGTATGGGCTTATTAGCCCTATGTTTAGTGCTTCGATGATCTTGCATTGTCTTTTTGGTGGCATAGCTCTTGCTACGAACAGTACACTTGACTCTAAGATCTTTCGCTGGAGAGTCGCTGTCCGAGTTGGCGTCCATGATATCTTCGGCGGCGTCCATAATGTCCTTGGTGGTTTCCGGGTGGCTGAAGTACTCGATCGCAACGTGAAGTTGATGTGAAGAGCCTGCTGGGTAAGGCTGGTAAAGAGCAACCTTATGCAACAGTGTTGGAGAAAGACCGAAGAGAGTAACTGGATGCCGCTGGCAGAGAACGACTTAGTGTAGCGGTATTGAGGTATGAGCGAAGAGCAAATAACGAAGACGGTCACTTCAACGCATATGAGGATCTGGGCAAGAGCGAAGTCTAGGCAAGAACGAAGTCTGAGAAAGCGCAAGATCCAGACCTCGCTCTTCCCAGACTCGATAGGCTGTCAACACCGGGAAGTGAGAGCGAGGTCTAGATATGGTGAGTCGTCGAGGTGAGAGCGACAACGACTGCGTGAAGGACCTGCGCATATGTCATGTGAAGGATTCGAGAACTATACTACATTGACGGAGGTGTGATCAGAACTTCACGAGCCGGTGGTTCTCGGTGCCCATCCTAGCTTGATAGATTTCACCTCCATATTCTCTCAGGGCCTCGAGAGCGTATCTGAGATGATTTTCTATCGAGATTGAAGCGACACAGTGTCTGGCGTGCGGGTTCGAACTTTTAAGACGTTCTCTTCAAAGGAAAGCTTTTTCGGCTGACCCCAAAAAGATCAGATGAGATGAAAGGAAATTAGACAAGATAGAAGGTCACAGAGGCAGTTAAAATAACCTAAGCTATTAACGCCATTGAATATTGTTACCTAACTAGGCAAACTCCTGGTGAAGGATTGCTTCTATCTAATCTTTCTTAGTGAAGGATAGCTTCTATCTGATCTTTTGTTTAGGGGGTGAAGATTCCTGCAGGTTCTGGGTGGCGTTTCGCTTTTATCTTATGATCTAGGGGTGATATTTTTGGGTACCTGGTTGCTTTTATCTGATCTTAGATCTCTATGTAGCCGATTGCTTTCATCTGATCTTTTGGGTCAGCCGAATATCATTTTGGGTCAGCCGAAAAAGCTTTCCCTTCTTCAAAGCCAAACTCATCACGAAGGATCTTGTCTGTCAGCTTTGCAAAAGCATGTGAGTGACTTCTGGATCAGAATTATCGTTGGTGTCCGACTGGTTCAGGTCTGGAAGAGTCTTGATGGCCATTATCTCTTGAGCAGATCTTAAAGGCCACATCATTCATGGTGCACTTCTATTTAACAGGAGTTATGTGTGATTATCCGATGTTGTAACGGCACCGTGGCTTGTTCTATCGTCCTCTTCTGAGCATTTCATGCGGTGTCTATTGGGGACGTATAGGTAGTACCTTCCCTGGAAGCTCGACAGGTTCCACATTTACATGATACCCGTACATCTCAACTGGGCCGTGATTGTTATCCCAGTGCTGTCCCTTCTGAAGGTGAGTTGAGCTGTCCGTACTCAATTCTACAAAATTACTCGGGTGATCATATGTGTATCCTAGTGGCTGTGCCACCTTCTCTGTAGTACCGCGTTTCCGCCGAATGAGAACGACACCGAGAATGGTTAAGCATATCACTGTAAGCCCTCCAATGACCCCACCCACTATAGGCCCGATATTTGTTGACTTCTGTTCGGTGGGTGCGGGTGTCGAGCCTGGTGTTGATGATGGGAGGATACTGCCAATCGGGTCCAGGACTGTTGAGCTTTGCGCATCTGACGTTGTTGGTGGTTGGGTTGAGGTAGCCAAAGAGGCACTGCTTTCAGTACTCGAAGCGGACGTTGTTGTTGCCTCTACTGTATTCGGCACCGCGAAAAGGCTGTCGACGGCGGCAGTGTCTCCGCAGGCAATGTACTCAAATGATTGATCAGGGCCGTTGATTAGGAGAGCTGTAGAACAAAATTGTTCGGAGTCGCTATCTAGTTAGAGGAGTACTCTCCAATATTTGCAAAACAAAGGAGCGACTAACCATGTAAACGTAGTGATATCGGCTCGATCAGATAGTCTCCCACACCCCGTCGTGCAAGAATGGTTGTCGATGCATAAGCCAGCTAAACCACAGTCTTTGGCCGATAAAACGCTGGTTGGACAAAAACCCCATAAACCGTTTGCGGTGTCGACACGGCATCCGTAGCCAGGGTCAGCTGTTCGAGGATTCTCAGGTTTGCCATCGAGATATCCACAGGTAGTGACAGGTGCGAAGGCTTGCCGTTTATAGAACCGTTCATCAGCGTGAGCTGCTAGCTGTGTAGCATGCGGCACTGCTGGTGCGATCCGGCTGCGAACCGTAGCAGGACTTGAGGAGACCAGCTCAAAAGAGCTAAAAAAGATTAAACCTAAAGAGTAGAAACTGGACATTCTTCAAACGAGTGTTAAAGCGAGTGACGACGCGTAGAACGATTGATAGACTAGAAGCAAAAGACGGGATGACTAGGTAGCTGTGACACGAGAATACATGCAGTTTATGGAAACTCCTGAGTACAGCGCATAGTCGCCGTAACTGAGAGCCTGGCTTTGGCCATGGTCTATACTGCTTGTATGCAGCCACAGTTTCATGGGGCGATAAATACAAGACAATGTGATGATCTAGTGGCACCTAGACGCACAAAGAGGTATAGCCAGCTGCCCGTGCTGAATCCTGACTTGGAATTGAGAATGCGTGACGCCGTCCAGCGATCTTGTCGTGTGAAGTACCTACTTCGTAGGTGTTGGTTCGGCGCTTAGGTCAAATTTAACCTGCGTGATTGGTTGCCGCGTCCGCGGAACTTCTCTCAGGCGCCCACTCATTTCCACGCGGAACGGTGCGAAACCGCCTCCATCATCCACTGGGCAGGCTGCAGGATGGGCGCGATTGCGCTTGTTCATGCTCGTTTACTTAGCACTTGCAGCACGTAGACGCCATCTTTCAAGAAACTTCATCAACCTAGGATCTTCTGCGCTACGTTCTGTCTTTGCTCTGTTATCGTTCATTTCTAATGTCGCCACCAAGGAGCATGAGATCGCTTCTACAGGCGATCGCACTGCTCTGTGTTGTCTTCTTGTTTGTAGCTGGCTTCGGGTTCTTCCATTACGGTAACGACCTATCGCAGATCAAACCCATCGTCACTGGCATACTCAATCCGTCGTCAACAGGTATGTCGCCTCTATTTACTGTTGTGTAGAACGTATCCTAAGTTTAGGACTAGAAGTAAAACCGAGCGCCGTACCTGAGGCAGCTCACCCAGTCACCCCATCAGACAAAGGCAATGCTACTCTCATCGCACAGACGCCACCATACCTGCATGCGATCCTAAATCCGTCAGATTCGACATTTCCTCGTCTTGAATGTCCACAACCAAACCTCGATCGCTATGCCTACTTAGGAGGCTCATCTGGATCACTTCAGCACGCGCAACGTCCTAGATACTTTTTTGCCCTTGATCTACACCAATGTGTTCATCTTCTTCCACGGTTGATTGGTTCTATCGTAGAAACCATGTACTTTCTTGGGCCACAGAACTGCGCGCTTTCCATAGTCGAAGGAAGATCCGATGATGGCACCTTTGAGGTACTCGATCAGCTTCGCGCTAGCATGCAGCTTCTCGGAATTAGGTACTACTTCCAGTCCAGCGATATCAACCCGATGGCCAAAGGGAAAGACCGTATCGAAGGTCTTGCAAAGCTCCGCAACTTAGCCTTGAAAGATCTCATCGCACATCCAGAACATTACGACGAAGACACTACGGTGATATTCTCCAACGATGTGGCTCTATGTATGGAAGATCTCCTGGAGCTAATACATCAGCGCAAGTTTCAAGGGGCGGACCAAACGTGTGCCATGGACTGGACGTACGTTGGCGACAATCCAACATTCTACGATGTCTGGATTGCACGTGGTATGACAGGCGATTTGTTCTTCAGAATCCCGGAAGATGGTAGTTGGGACTTTGCCTGGGACCTATTCTGGAATGACCAAAACGCTCATGCGCGCTGGTCTAGTTCAAAACCTTTCCAGGTCTTTTCATGCTGGAACGGTGTGACAGCCTTCACTGCGAGGCCTGTTATGGAGAAGAAGATCAGATTTCGAGCACACAAGGAGGACGAATGTTTTCAGGGTGAACCAAAATTGTTCGCCAAGGACATGTGGTTCAACGGCTACGGCAAGATAGCTGTAGTCCCGAGCGTGAACGTGGAATACAGTGATGAGGCCGCAAAGAAGATTAAGGCTCTGAAAGGATACCCATCTAAGCATTTCGCGAATGAAGGGGATGATGCCAAAATCAATTGGGAAACCTCGCCGCCGGAGAAGGTGAAATGTATGCCGGTAAGTTCGAAACCTTCCGTATCGCTGTCTTTACACGGATTCGTTGCTGACAAGTAACCAATCTAGGATCATCAACACCAGACCTTTGTGGCTTGGGACGAAGGATTGCGGCCTTGATGTTGTCAGAAGATCGAATGCCAAATTCAAACACTACCTCTGGAACTAGGCACTACATCCAGCATAAAGCTACCGTCATAGATCCCAGCTGTTAGGCATTGTATCCGCCCAAGGCATAGCATTGGCACGCAGAGAGCAACGATCTCTATCAGATGGAATCGAGTCACTTGTTTGCAGCGCGAAACGCACAGCTCAGGTGTGTGTTATGCAAACAAGTTAAGATCGTTGGAAGGCGTGGCAGGCTAACCAGAATGCTGTTGCTGGGTGATTATGTTGATCCAAATTACCATCTATGTCACATACGACCATAGGACACTGAAAATTAGGCTTCCCGTCCGCTCAGCCATATACAAGCAGTGTACCGGCGGATTAGTAGTTAGGTGGGTGACCACTAGCGAATCCCCGCTGTTGTATGTTTTTGCCTGTGTGCGAGTCAAATTTTTTGCTTCACCCTACTACTGTTAAGAGGCCATACATGATGACAACAAATTAAAGAGCAACTAGGACGTACAAGCCGATTCTAGATCGAAAGAGTCGAGTCGGACAAAGACTTTTGTTTAGTAGTGGGTATCATCGTATAGAAAATTAGACAACAAGAAATCGGCTCATGCAGCCTCTTCCTCAGCAGTGATTTTGAGCTCTGCTTCGGCATCGCCCTCTCCATCTTTGAACAACTCCTGACCTAGTTCCTCGAGAAACTTCTCTGCCTGTCCTTTGCTTCTCTTCTCCTGTATAGCCCTTTTCTTGTCTTTGACCATGGCCTTCCTCTTTTCGACAGCCTCTTTGCGTTCCCGCCTCACGCGCTCCGTCTCTTCTCTTTCCTTCTCAATCCGACTCATCTGCTCTTTTCGTTCCTCTTCATCATTGGAGAAGTTGAAGAAGCCCATTCCGCGTTGCCTTACCTCGGCTCTGCCGTCAAAGTGTACCTCAGGTGGCGGCGTGAGTTCTTTGTCGCGCTTGGCGGCTAGGTCGGCCATTTGCTGGGCGATTGTCTCGTCGGGGTTGAAGGCTTGCGTCTGTACGGTGTCGCCGAAGATTATGTTGGTCGGCATACTAGGTCGTGCGGTGAAACGGTCGGGTTCGTCGGCGGCGAGGGTTCGCTTTCGACGCTCTTCGCGGGCAGCTTCTGCTCGCGTGCCCTTTCGTGTGCGGCCGAACTCGTCCACATATTCTACGAGTTCCTCTTCTTCGTCGTCTTCTGATTCCGACGTTGTGGTGTGTTCTGCTTCGCCCTTTTCTTGCTGCTCAGCCCATTTGCGGTCGAAATCGACGCCGTATCTGTCGTCAATGTCTTCTACGTCGCCGCGCTTCAGGGCGTCGTACAGACGCGCTTTCTCTTCCATGCGCCGCTTTGTGCGCTTCCATGCGACTTCATCCTCGCCTTTCTCCTCGGTTGTCCGTCCGCGATGCTTCTGTGTAAAATCCGTGTCTTCCAAATCTTTCAACGCGCGCTTTCTGACGTTCTTGTTGTGGGTCTTGAAGATATCTTCCTTCTGCGGGCGTGCGCGGCCTGCGGTGGGCTTGTTCGATTCGGTAGAAGAGTTCTTGATGAGGTTGGAGAGGGTCGATGAGAAAGCGAGGCTGCTGGAGCTGGATATTTCCTTAGCCTTTGTGCGTCCCTTTGGTCGGGCACCGTATAGATGTGCGTCTTTGGAGGACATGTTGGGGGCTGAAGGTTGGAGTCGATTGGGCTGGTGCTCGTCGCGTGGTGGAGCGCGTAGGGCTGAGACGCGGCGAGGCGATGTCGGCGTCGGAGCTCTGAGCTTGTTGCGTCACTGAGCTACCCCACCGATTGTTTTACTTACCCCACGTCGAAGCCGTGTAAATTGGCGGTTCCGCAGAAGTCAACGCTCCCTTCTCTTTTCGAGTCCGACTATCCTCCCTCTCGTCCTTGAAGAGTCTAGAAATACTTCACCTTCTCCGTACGAGTCTGATACATCCAATTGACCACACCAAAGCAACCATGCCTCTGCCTCGTCAAGTATTCATCGCCGTTATCGGTACGCGCAACAAGCCTCTATTTCACATGTGTACGGCTAAGAATTACAGGTGCCGGTGGTGTAGGCAAAGCCTTCCTCTCCCAGCTGTCAGCCCTCTCCAAACGCCTCTCCCAATCACCCTCGTCGCCGTACTATCTCTCCCTCATCTGGCTCAGCACCTCCAAAAAAGCTGTCTACCACGCCGACTACAAGTCCCTCTCCAACTGGGAATCCGAGCTTCAGAACACGTCCAAGCCCACATTGCCTCTCCCTCAGCTCTGCGAATACCTACAGAAAGCGCCTGGTAAGGTGGTACTGGTGGACAACACCAGCAATCAGGACGTTGCCGACAGCTACCCCAATTTCTTGAAGAAGGGCATTAGCATTGTAACACCAAACAAGAAGGCTTTCTCCGGAAGCTATGAGCTATGGACGCAAATATTTGACGCTGCGAGCAACGGGAACGGTGCTGGTGGCTACGTCTTCCACGAGTCGTCAGTCGGCGCAGGACTGCCTGTCATCTCTACACTGAAGGACTTGGTTGAGACTGGAGACCAAGTCACAAAGATTGAGGGCGTTTTCAGCGGAACCATGAGTTTCCTCTTCAACTCCTTCCAGCCTCTCGGTGGCGGAGGTGGAAAGTTCTCAGCTGAAGTCACATCAGCCAAAGAAAAGGGTTACACAGAACCAGATGCTCGCGATGATTTGAACGGCCTAGACGTCGCTCGCAAACTAACCATCCTAGCTCGCCTCGCTGGCCTGAAGGTCGAATCGCCGACATCCTTCCCCGTACAATCTCTCATCCCCAAAGAGCTCGAGTCCTGCTCATCTGGCGACGAGTTCCTTGAGAAGCTCCCACAGTACGACGACCAGATGGAGAAGCTCAAGGCCGAGGCAGAGAAGGAAGGCAAAGTCATCCGGTTTGTAGGAAGTGTGGACGTGCCAAACAACAAGGTCAAGGTCGGGTTGGAGAAGTTCGACACAAGCCATCCGATTGCAGCACTCAAAGGAAGCGACAACATCATCGCATTCTACACAAAGCGGTACGGTGACAACCCACTCATCATCCAGGGAGCCGGTGCTGGCGGCGAAGTCACTGCGATGGGTGTCACTGCGGACCTGGTCAAGGTGCTCCGGTTATTGCACTAAGGAGTTGATTGTGGGGAAAATTCATGTAAACTAAGATTTCAGTGTAACCGTTGCCACCAGGAGGCTTACCTACCCGTAGCGACTACCTATCAACCACTATACCGATCATCCCACTATTGAAAACCACACCAGATTGCATTAGCACTCCATGTTCTTAGCGATGTGTCGCGACCGCTGCGTCTGATCACCTGTGCTTCTCCGTTGCACCGAGTGACATGATCGTCATGTCTCCGTTGTCGCCGAACCTTGTTTCTTTGTCGATCAGGGCGCAACTGACACCATCCCTTGCTGCAAACCACACACTCGGCAAGAATGATGTGCATCAATGGAACTTTCCAGTCAGGTCGATCTCTCGGCGTCAATTGCTTGATCTGTGAGATTGCTTGTTTCGAGACACTGGTGCGAAGCTTATGTCGTGATATGGAAGGCTTGTTATTGTGTGACGTTGACGTATGGGCGATCATATTGACCCTGCGTGTTTGTGCTTGTGTTTGTGCTGTGGACATTTATCTGCCACTTGTTTTGTAGTCTGTGCTGCCGTTGAAATTTAGTTGTTGTAGGAGAAGTATTAGCGTCTTCGCTTCGTCTCTGCTCACTATCACAGCCCAGTTCTATATCTAGGTATACGCGACTCGGGTGTTCGGCGAGAGGGGAAGGAAGTCACATGATTACCAAGTGTACCAGAGTATCGAAACGGCACCCTCCAGAAGAAAGTGCCGATGTGAAAACAGATCTTCAAAGCAGGATGATGCAGTTCAGAATGCAAACCATGGATCGCTCTGCAGGATGAGAAAGTCAAGCATGTTGATCGTAAGCTTGGTATGCTTAATGTTCCTCTTGGGTAGATCGGTCTGCCTCATATTCTGTAGAGTTTATGGATTTCTCCGGCATGTAGGGATCTGCAGACGTTGTTCATGGCGCAAACCAGATTTTAACCCACAACAAGCTTTGGGAAATTATCCATGCACGTTTGACTAAAGCTTCTAAAATGTCCAGCGTCGTATTCGGCGAGAAACGCATTCTTCACCGACGCGAAGAAGGTTGGCCACAAGATCAGACCTCTTTTTTCTCTTCATAATGCTTGCTCGGGAGGAAACGGGTATCCGGGCGGAGCGGAATATGCGGTGTATTAGTATACACTTGTGAGGCTTGGCGCCGAACAAAGGGTGTCGTGATGTACCTAGCGTACATGCCCGCATGCGCGGGTGGATATCGATTAGCATAGCTTCGAAGAGCGGTGACGCGTGTTTACCAAAAGACAAGGTCTAGACTAATGCGCCGAGCAGCGTTTCTTTTCCAGCACCTGCATATGAGCGGAAGTGTGGCACGGAAGTGTGGCACAGATTCGTAAGATCATGCACAAATGTGGCGCGTGGTCTTTTCGCAATGAACAGTAGAATGCTTGGAGTACTTTGACTGGATGCACGGCGCACACGTAATTGTTTGCAAACATGTAAATTTTGTAACGAACTAGCTTCTAGAACACGTTCCCCTTGAGTCATTCGTAAGTCATAGCAACAAGCGAGGGAGAAAAAGAGGAAACGCCTGTGCTTGTGACGCACAAACGTTTTGCGCTGTCGCTGCGTGGCAGCCCAACGCCAAGAAATCCTAATAAATCCAAACAGAAGCGGAAGTAAACGCAGGTTGCCCTTGCCCTCTTCGTGTTCGCCTGAAGTACTCCCTGTCCTTTTTTACGTGAGAACGCCGCGGCCGAAATGAGTGCGCAAATGTACCCGTCGCTAGGGCATGTTTTCGCGCGCAGAAAGTAAGAGCAGTGTGGGTATCCGAAGTAGAAGTGAGATGAGACGAGTTGGCCAAAGCGCGCTAGGCGATATCGAGAAAAAGCAGATACAAGAAGTGAAGAGTGGGGTGTTGGTAGTCGTGAAGGGAGTTGAGAGTGTGTTGACTCGAAACCAGACTGGTGTGGCTAGTGACCTGCTGTCGGCGGAGTGCATGTGCATGTGATTGTAGCGTGGTGATGCTGTCCGGGCCGAGGAACGTGGCTAAGTGGATCCGATGGGGAAGCGACTCCTCATTTCAGCCACAGTCTAGACTCCAACGACGCTATGCGAACCACCAAGAGCTGAGAGGTGGGCTGTGTAGTTGACGTGGCCAAGGAGAGTAAAGCATCAACCGTCTGATCATCTGAAGATGGTGGAGATGCGCTTGGTGCGCTGCCGGACACGCGAGAGCATGTTGGCTTTGTATGGCTCAGCCGGCATGGAGATTGATGGATGTCGCATGCTTGTGCGGTCGTTGCTCGATGTGTCGCTCGGGCTTGTAGCGCTGCTGCTCTCGGCATCGTCTTCTCGTACGGCGGGGTACGGCTGCTCAGCCGAGGGGAAGAAGTAGGCGTCAAGTCGAGAGTTCATTGCGCGGTTCTTCTCAGAAGCTGCTGTGACCAAGCTGCTCTTGCTACCTACGCTGGTAGCGCTGTCGGTTCGGGTGATGTTGTCGAGACGGATGTCACGACGGGCTGCGTTCAAAGAGGTCGAGTGTGCGCGCGCAAGTCCTGAGAGAGAGCCGACTGGCGGTGCCGGTCCATCGCCTATGAGCTTGTACTCAAACTCGGAGACGTGACCATGGCAGTAGGGGCAGTGGTCGCACTTGACCTCCCATCCTGAAATCCCCAGCTTCTTCCCGCATGTGGAGAGATTGCTGGATGGGCTGCATGGGCGAACGAGGTGGTACCAGCGGTGCTGGCACGGAAGAACCGTGACGCAGAGTTCAGCGACGCACATTGTAGCGTCGTGTTCAAGTAATGTCGAGGTAGATTCGTTTGTGGGCACAGGTGTCTGAAGACGTTTTGGCTGATGGCGAAGTCGTGATGGAAGACGTGATGTTGGTCTTGGAGATGATGCGCGGGATGCGGTCACAAGATCAAGACGGGTGGCAATCTGGGGTAGACGCTAGTGGCCAATATTGGAAAGGCGGTGGTAATGGTAGAGTATCGGCGTAGGTGCAAGATGCGGTTGCGGTTGCTGTTACTCGCAAACAAGCGGCGGGTCAGATGTTTTAAGTGCAGGAGGGCCGTGAAGTGGAGATTGACAGTGTAGGATGCCGTGTGCCAAGGCGTAGGAGCTGATTGGGACGCGCGTGGTCGATCACCCCTTACCTCCTTCCTTAGTGTGTCGTAGGCGGGGAACGATAAATGCGGCGGAATTTAGAGCGGACAAGTGCGATACGGGAGGCAGGAACGGCGAAAAGGACGGTGTTAGACAAGCCCAAGCTTCGGAACTTGGTGGAATGACGCTGCGTCTTCGGTGCCGGTGGCTTGGTAAGGTTGGCTTACTGTAGCAGGCAACAAAGCGGACGGACGAGGCAATCGGACGATGAGTCAGGAAAGTCGCTGCAGGATGATGATGATCAAGTCGGTCTTGTCCAGCTGGCGTCTATGAATAAACGGTACTGGGAGGGCGACTATTATGGTATTTAACACGACGGACCACTGTGTTGGGCGGACAGGGGTGCGGGGTTCTAGCGCTGAATTGATTGTCCAGGACTCCAGGTGTGCCCAAGCCTAGCAACGCCCGTGATTCAAACAAGGCGACTCCTTCATGCCCGCCGCGGCGCCGGGACAGAAACGCGGGCTCTTGCACTAACGGCGTTATAAGCAGATCCGTGCCGGAACGCTGGATTCGTGTGGCATCTCTTCACACCGCTCTCAGATAACGACGTGCTCCGTTCGCCGTGTCAGGGACCCTTTGAAAGCCTTTGGCAGCCAGCATGTGGGAATGTGCAAGTCTTATTGGCACTAGCCCCCCCTGTCTCACGCGTGCGACAATCATAGAAAACTGCCCTGACACGACAGCGCTCAGACTCTCTGGTAATCAACGTTGTAACAAGGGGGCTGCTCTTTTGCCAAAAATCATCCCCTGCCTTCCACACCCAAAGCCTGCTGAACACACATCGGCCCGGTAGCGAGCGGAACATATTGAAACCCAGGTCAGCGCCTACGGGTGAGCATGCTGAGATCGCCCACTTAGGCATGGCCAGATTGCATTTCAGATGAAGTCATGCCTCGTGGCCTTTGACGTGCTCCACTTTCCGATGCTACTTTTCATCCGCCATCGCCAGATCACAAATCAAGAGTCAAGTCCATCACCGTGCCACAGAATCATTTTCTCTCGCTTCGCCTTAGCTAAATGCAGCTCCCTCTCGCCTTGCTGCCCCAAATCAGATGTTCATGGAAAGAAGCAATCACCCAAATGTACCCGGCACTTATCTTGAATTCTGCCCACGGTGTGGAACACAGACGTCAACAACGGCCCCATGCTAGGATGCCGCTCGCGTGCATCATGATTGACTAGAAACACGGCTACACATGCAACATTCCGGTAAGACATGCTTTATCACAGGCTACACAACAATATCCATGTCCAAGGTGCATAGTAGCAAGCCTGCCGATAGTGCGATCAGTCAGACAACTCCCATATGCAGCAGGATAGCCGTTGCAGCCCTGGTCGTTGATCCTCACCCTTTCATGTATATTCCCGTCATCACGGACCTGCGCAAAGTTCAACTACCCGCATCATTCAGGCATCCATATTACTCTGAATGAGCATGCCGCCCAAGGGGTCGGGAAACCACAGAAACGCCAGATCAAAGCTAAATTGTCAGTGTGTCAGGACCCATGACAGGAGCGCCCTAATCGTAATCGGCCCACCTGCACAGCCTCAACGCCTTCATGCATCAGCTCGCCTCGCAACGCCTGCTCATTCGCTCCGCTCACCTCACGCGTCTCTCACGCTCCTTGGCATGGACTAAACACCTTGGCCCCGCCTTGGCTTGGATCCGATCTTCGTTCACATTTCGACCCCGCTTCGTGACCAACTCCAACACTCGCCTAGCATCACGCGGCATGCTACTCCAAGTCGCAAGGCCATGTACAGGCTGCTAAAGATGCGCTATATATGCTGTCTAGCCAAGTGTCTACTCAGCCACGAGGCATTTCTTGACCTATCGAGAATGTTTGACAAAGTGTGTATGCCCAGATTGTCGTGTAACTTGTATAGACCCGGCAAGACAATGACGGTTCCAAACCTGTGGCTATTACACCACCCCAAGCTCCAAGTCTTATTCTGCGGTGCTGGCGGCCTTGCTAGCTGTTCCGGCATACATGCCACTGGTGCCAGCACAGATACACAAGCCGCGCGACACAGACAGCATGACTTTCGAGTCATACCGTAATCGAGTTTGAAGTCGATGCTTTCCTTGTTGCAGTCTTAATGCTGGTTTCGGACAATGATACTCATTGCTGCGAAGGATTTCATGCGTCTCAAATATGACGAAGAAGACATGATCCTTGTTGCGTCCCGACCCGCTCTCTGTAAGGAATGGGAGACGTATAGGTAAGCAACGATGCTCTAAGCTTCAGAAAAACAGCCCTTGACGAGCCTGTTCTGGTCCGTACGACCTCACCCCAAATCTGGCGGAACGTTCAGGACCTGTCCTGATATCTGAGAATCCCTGATACCTGCAAATAGAGATGCATCTCCATTACCTAGACCTTCTCTTAACTCCACGTCACATGTATACTACAAGGCTATCAGGTGCAGCAGTCACTAATCTGCGTGCTAGTAATCCTCCATGGCTTGATTACAGCGAAGAGTTACGATCGGTTTCTAGCTGCGAGTGCAGCGTGATTCTACTACTGGACAGTGCTAGTGCTACATGGATGATACTTTTTGTACAACCGGCAATCTACGGGTTGTAGTCAAATGGTTACTTCTTTCATTGTGGACAACGGCAACCGGCAGTAAAATAATTGTCGAGTCACCTTAGATACCTATTCCAACCCGCAAAAAGTAAGCTTACTGCTTGGCTACGCCTCGGCATCGCGCCCTCACTGTATCCGGTGAAATGTATGTGGGTGAGGATCCGGGAGAGCAGTTTAATCATGGAAGCTTGCCTGTGCGAGGCGCTGCAGTTTGGAACTGACGCCGATTCCGATCCTTCCGTTGCCGTCCAGAGTTCTGGGTATGGATAGGAAATTCTCGATGGATACGTACGTATCGGCACTTGTCGAGCTCTTGGTATGATTGAGTTGTGTACGTACGCTTCGTTGACTAGAAAGTGATGCTTCATAGTTGGAGCCAAAGTCCCACTCCTATACTAGAAGCCAACGCTAGCACAGCCTCACCACCTCGTCCAAGGACTCTCTCGGCACCGGACTCGTCATCGTGTGGGCCATAGTGCTCATCAAGTACCTCTTTCACACTCCTCGGAGCCCGACTTCCCTCCTGTATATTTTCAGGCTTTAAACAAACCACCTTCGCATGAGTTTCCCGGCTGCTGCCTCCTCTGGTACTGGAAACTGTAGGGTAGAAAGTCATGATGTCCACAATGGGAAAGTTAAGCGCTACGTCGTAGTCAATCGTTTGGTAGATCCTGTTACCCCAGCTGCTGCTAAGATTTCGGTCGCCGCATGTAGGTACAGTGACGTCATCGGAGAATGAAGTTATGTTAATGCCTTGGTCCCATTTCCAAATGCGGTCTTCAGCGGAAGTGTTGAGGCGGACAACATCTGTGACAGCAATTAGCTTAACTTGGGCTTCTTCGTTGCCACAGACCTAGAACCTACCCATCGTCACAGCCTCAGATAGCATGCCTTCACATTCAGAAGGTATAGTGTTCTGGATGGCAGAGCAGGGCGGGTACTGGTCATCGTTCCATGCAGCTTGTCCTTGTCTTCGATACCATGACTCGAGCGCCTCTACACACTCTGTTCCCAACATGGTCTTGCAATCCCCATCATCTTCCGAGGCCCTCTCCAATACCTCTCTGCTCCATGTCAAATCTCCAGTGGTGCGGTTCTGCAAAGGAACAAAGCTATGACATAGGCCAATTATATCGCCTAGACGCTCCATGTTCGAGTCTCCAGTGTCAAGCCATAGAACAGCTTGGGTTTCGTTCTCGTCGTACTTCGCCATGCCGCCATCATACCCAGGCCCAATGTACGACGAGATTGTCCAAGTAGTTTGGTCGTCTTCTGTGATGGCCACCCTCTCCTCGTCTCCAAGCCATACGAGGTTTAGGGCCGTTGTATTCTGGATGATGGAAGCGTTGTATGCCAGGCTTTCAGAGAGATCGTCGCATGTCAAAGATTGAGATTCTGGTTTAGAAGTGTTTTGAGCAAAGGATGTGGTAGCTAGCACTGAAGCTAAGAGCGAGTGCTTGATAAGAGTAGACATAGTGGTGGGTGTTTGGGGGGAAAGCGAGCTATCTCAACAGTAGAGGCATAGCGGTTGCATTGACTTCCTCCTTCTTTATACACCCCACCCAGGCAGTATTAGAACATTACACCACATTCGCCTTGCTTTCGAGTGTTAGGCGTACCTCGTAGCACATCATTGTCATATAGTAGTGCTCTTGGCAAACAATGGGATCAGGAACACAGCCTCGCTTGTGGACAAAAAATACGAACCGGCCAAACAGAATCGAAGATAGCCTTTCTGTCGAAGCTACTATAGACAGGATCTACATAATACTGCTATTTCGGGTATACTACGTAAGAACGCCTTAGCCGATAACCGGAAAATATGGAGCACCGGGGCGTCTTGGCGAGACACGCAACAAAGGATGTGGAAAGACAACAAGGTGCTATGACGTAGGTTCAGCGTTCAGCTTCTCTGGACCAGTATCACGGTGCCATATCTATAAGATACATGCTGTACCACTGTCAATATTAGAAGAACCCACAATCAGCTATACCTCAGCGATACTGCTCCATTGTTATCCTTGGGTTACTTTCCATGCTCAAATAATTGTATGTTATAGCAGTGAACACCGGCTGATATGCTCAGATAACCCGATGATGAGTATGCGAGAATAATGTACACAAAACCCTTTCTGACTTGTTGCAAATGAAGTCTACTTCTTTGACGCTTTGCCCTGGTATTCAATATCGTATTGGAAGAAGCTATCCCATATACTTCCTTTCCTCGCAAGCGGCGACTTGCGAGAGTCAGCAAGAGAACCCCTCAGATCGCTTAAACTTCCTAGTCTGTTCTTGGTCGGAGATGTCTCTGATCGTGAATTGGCTGGGCCTGACACGGAGGTCTTGCGTAGAGTTTGAAGCTGGGCGATAGAAGACTATCGTAGTGTCAGCGACGTTGACGAATGGTTGCTATTAGGGGAGCTTAGATTTACAGGAAGCGAAAACCTAAGGTCCCCAAAGTAGGTCGCGCACATTGCCTCCATTTCCATCGTCTATTGACTTGTCCCCACCGTTCGTCGACGTCTCCCTTAGATGGCTGGGACCGTGTGCGCCAGCTGGACTCGCACCCCGTGTTGCCGTGGCGGAGTTAGGATTCGAGTCGGGACGTTCAGCTGGGGAGAGCGCTTCTGTTGAGTTGTGACGACCAACCAATGGTGCGCTCTTTCTGCTAGTTCCGCTACTGCGCCGACTATCAAGTGATTTTCCAAGTTGAGTTGCTGGATCCATGGAGGACTTCTTCTTTGCCTTTTGCATCTCGCCTTGTCCGGTTTCTAGACTACTCTTCACAGTAACCGCACCTTTAATACCTGGGGTACCAGGTGCCATCGCTTTCTCTTCTGTCGCCTCCAGTAGGTACCATCGTAGCCCATCAGACAGCTCGAAAGGATTGTCGTCCTCGAATGAAACGGCGTTGCTGGAAGCGACGGAACGACCGTCTAACGATGCTCGAGGTGCACCGTCGAGTGTCTTGGAGAGGTCGACGACGCGCTCTTCCACTTTTGATATGCGCGCCACAAGCCACTCTTTTCCACCCAATCGATGTGTGTCTTGTTCGCGAAGGAAGAAGTGCGGCGCTCCAACATTGAAGGCAGCCCAAGGACGATGAGCATTGTTACGAGTCGGCAAGAACAGTGCAAGATCACCTTCCTTAAATGAACGATAGGCGATCTTGTCGTGTGAGTCAGCTTGGAAGCGATGGGCCTTATCCCGATAGGCTCGTGCCTCCTTCTGCCACTTCCGTGCCGTGTGCTCCATGTCGCGCATTCGCTTCGCAACGGCGTCACTAAAGGTTTCGGTGTTGAAAAGCTCGAGCTTCTCAATAAGCTCCTGGTACCGTTGGTCTTCTTCCTCTGGACTCGTAGCTTCAGTCCACTGAAGGAAGTGGAGGTCTCCGACATCTTCTAAGAAGCGCTTCAGAGGAGTAGGCGAGGGCGTAGTAGTACTTCGACTAAGTCCCGCATTGGTGTCCGTCATGATAGTGCTGCCACCGAGCCTAGACGCTCGTTGAAGAACCATCTCACCGTTTTCATGGGTGATGACAAATCCAAGTGCTTCAACTAGACGAATAAGGCGCTCATGCTGTGTGTATAGACGTTGACTGAGGTCTTTCGCACGATTCATACGTTGGTGGGTGCGGGACGAATCAGCCTCTTCAAGCTTGCGCAGTTTCTTCTCTACCCGCATAAGCTCGACATCCAGGCTGTTGGCGTGCGAGTTTTTCTCCGCCAACTCCGTTTGAAGACGGCCAACCTTGGCTTCTTCTTCCTCAACACGCTTTCGCAGAGCTTCAGAGCCGGTCTCGCCTTCAGCAAACTTCTCGCGGAGGCTGTGCAGATGGCTCCGTTCCTCCTCGAGTTCCGCAGTGATAGAAGCAACGCGAGCTCTCTCTACGTCAAGCTCTTCACGAACAGCTGTAACCTCTTTCTCACGTTCGGCTAACTTAGTGTTGAGATTGTGTTCTTGCTCCTCGATCCTAGCATGAGCATTCTCGTTGTCTGACTTTGCCATCGCCAGGGCCTGCTGGAGTTCTTTCTGATGATCAAGTGATCGAATCGCTAGGTCTTCAAGCTGCGCGATGAGTGTGGAATGATCATCAGGTACACTCGTATCAGGAGAGAGATGGTTAAAGGCTGCAGTCAGCGAGTCCAGCTGCCGCGTCTTGACGGCGTTTCGTTCATCGAGTTCAGCTTGTAGGGCTTCAACGCGCTTTTCGGCTTGTCTGCTCTGCTCGGCAGCGTCTTTACGCGCCTTCTCGAGCTGAAACACCAGCTCCTGTACTCTGGCATCCACACCCGTTCGCTCGTTGTCCCGACTACCCAAGACACGATCCAGTTCATCTTCGGCTTCTTCGATTTTGGCTTTGTACGCTCGAATCTCGTCCTCAAGCGATTTACGCTCGTCGGCAAACTCTCTTTGTTGCGCTCTCATATTCTCCATGATGTTATTCTTCGTAGACATGGCCTCCTCGAATCGGCGTTGTTGATCTGCATCGTCGTCTCTCCGAGCTTGAGCATCATTCTCGAGTTTCGTACGAGCTTCCTTCTCTGCTGCTAGCTGCTGTTCGAGGCGAAGAATACGGCGCTTGTCTTCTTGTCCTGTATTCGCTGAGTACCGTCTAGAGGAAATCGAAGAGCGTCGGGATAGCTCTTCTTGAGGTCTAGGTGAAGCGACTTCGGCTGTTGGCGTCGAAGGGTCGCCCGGATCGGGAATGCCAAAAGATGGCGGAGCGCCACCTATTGAAAGTCTGCTAACGGTACTCTGACGATGTACGAGGTCCTCCAGCCGACGGACCCTACTCCTGTAACCTTTTAGCTCATCCTCGAGCTTCGCGTTACCTTCCTTCAGCACGCGTAGCTCATCATCACCTCGCATCATGAGTTGTGAGGCCCTGCCAAAGGCCGGCTCATGGACACTACCCATCTTGAAATTCTTTGCACGCTTGATCTGCTGCTTCGTAGGACGGTCCAGATCCTTGATAGCCTGGGCAAATGCTTCGGCTTCGGATTCTTGTCCATCTAACCTCTGCAAGTCCTTGAGGTATTCTAGAAGCTCTTCCCGGGTAACCATCGGCCAAACGGTCTTCTCAGGTTGTATGTTCAACTCGAATCCCAGCGAGCCACCTTGCAAGGCGTCCAGGTTGACAACATCTGATATTGGCTTCAGCCACTTCTTACGCCGACGCTCTTCTTCTTCCTGGAAAGTTGCCATCTCTTCAGCGAGCGAGGATGTATCCTTTTCCATCCTTTCTGTCCACTCGCGTCTTCGGACGGCTTCGATTAGTAGTGTGCCGTATATGTACGGCAGACGACCAACGAGAGATATGAGCTCGAAAGCAGCGACACCATCTTGTGGTATACTAATCTGCTCGAGCTGCGCACCTATGGTTGCAATAACTGACTCAATATTCGCGATGGCCTGCATACTCTCGACCGAGTTTCTGATGGCAGTATTCTTTTGCTCGACAGCCCGTCGTACGAGATCGCTCATCTCCACGCTGTATTCTTGTATGGCTGGCAAAAAGTTTCGTGTATGGAGCAATGCCATTTTAGATACCTGCGCTACGGATTTCGAGCTTGCTTCTAGTCCCATGACATGTTCAAAGTCAGACTCGACCTTCTTCACGACGGCATCGATTTCGTTGTATAGGCGTGTAGGCTCTTCGGAATCGTCGGCGATGGATCGGCTCTGGCTCTGTCCCACGGCACCCAGGAGCTCGTTGTAATCGGCCTCGATTTTCTCTAGCTGCATGCGCATTTTGTCCATGTGCTTCCCAAAAGACTCTCGGACACGCTTGCTTGTCGATGTAGCCTTCTTGACAGCTTCGACGTCGAGGAATTCCTGAAGGGTCTTGCGAACAAGGGTGTTGTTGGGCACACTCTGTGGAGACCGCATCTCTTTGGCCAGGAAGCGCGTGAAGTTCAGGATGGCGGGAACGGTGCCCAGCTGTTCAAAGTCGGCATCAAGTCTCCGTATATTGTCCCCAGCTTCCTTCTCGACTCCATCGTACCACTCCCTGGCTGCCTGGTACTTCTGCTCTAAACCCTTGATGTGTGCATCGTGGTTTCCAACGGCGACCTGGGTCCCTCTCTCGATGGTAGCTTGTTCGGCGAAGTGCTTCGAGGCGATATGGGACATGGAGTGTGACTTCTCGAGAAGCCCAAACGCCCAATCGCGGCGGGCTTGGAAGAGAGCCTGCCATGCCCCGAGATCGGTGTTCTTCGCAAGGTGGTTTGGCGCATCGTCGGGCTGGAAGGCATCGGGCAGTGGCGTCGAGGATATGGCAGCCTGGGGATTATTGGAGAGTTCGCGACTGAAGACGAATATCTCTTTCTGTAGAAGAGGGATTAGCATGTTTCATGCATCGCCTGTGAGATATTCGTACCTCGGTCAAGAGCGCTTGCAGCTTGACATGTTTGCCTTGTGTTGTGAGTAGGACTTGTTGCTCGGGCGCTATGTCTGTCACCCTCGAGATCCAGTGCTTGAGCGCATCAACAGACGCAAAGGCAACGGGATCAGCGTCAAGGCGCTGGCCCGTATGAGCTACAGCAATCTGTAGCGACATTCGGCCTTGCCCTCCCGCTTGATGGAGTCCTGTCGAGACTGTGCAAGAGGAGTTTGTGGCTTGGAGAGTTGAGGCGTGAGCACATGGTTACCAGATACCGCCAAGGATGGTTCATGCAGGGATCGGCGCATTAGCGAGGCTGCATCATAGGGAACTAGATAGACGATCGCGTTCGGTCAGATGAACATGGTCTCGGTCGCAAACTTGGAATCACTTGAATCAAAGCGATAGCAACATGGCGGCAAGAGGCCGTGTTGACATGACGGACGTGGCGTCTAGAACACAAGACGCAAGCGACTACGCGGACCTGCTACAAACAAATCACAGCGACGCGTTCGCGTTTTCCGAGGCGGAGAAGCTAGCCCTACAGCTCTACGATCAGCTCAAGGAACTTGAGTTGCAGCACAGTCTTATTGAAGCACAACAATCAGGCACGTCTCACAACTGGTATAGTCTGGGAGTAGAGAATGTTAACTGCGTTTTATAGCAGACGCACATGACGCTTCAGCAACCCCAGATGACCTGCTGGAGGGGCGCCTGACTGTAGCGCAGCGCGAAGCTATGGACGCGAGGGCAGAGTACGAGATAAGGAACAAAATCACACACAACGTGCTAGTAATGGATCCTGTCCTGAAAGCCGTTTATGAGGGCGAGCAGACTGGGTTTGCAGAGAAGTGAGTTATCGCAAAGACATTTCTGGATCATGGTCTGATGTTGTGTAGACGCATACTGCCGCTGGTCACCGAGAATGACACTGTTTTCATGATGCATGGTGCTCTGACGTCGAGGCTTGCTCACACAACTCGGTCGCAGAGCACAGCCGAACACAGCAACATGACGGAAAACCAAAGACATGAAGAACTCGCAGAAACGATGCTTGCTCTAGCTGAAGAGATGAAGACGCAGTCGGTGCATGACATTGAAGACGCACAATTACGCCAACGAGTCGATGCAGTCGACAAGGAGCTCAAGGACTCAAGGCGAAGGGCGAAGACGCTGAAGGGTATATTGTCGGCCATGATAGTAGGCAGCGGGATCAATTGGGCTGCAGACGAGGGCCTGACCGAGCTCGTCCTGGAGGATGAAGACGATTGAGTGACAATGACAGGGCCATTCGTGGCTACAGCTCTTGATAACATTGGGAAGTGTGGGAGAAGCTACTGTGGTAGGTAGCGATGTTTGTTGATGATGAACGTCATGGCTGTTGCCAGGGCGATGGATCTACATGGAAGCACACGGAAACTTTCAGAGCAAGCTGAGTGCCTAGCATTTCTAGGTGAATGAAGTCGACTTTTTGACCGTCGGACGTGAGCAGTGGTCGAGTTACGTCTTGGGTGAACCTAGTGACGGCTTCCGAGCTCGGTCCGGGCGCTGTGAATAGCCAGACCGCTGTGGCCGGAAGCGGGTGCAGAGGCCGCCGCCCATGACCATGGCGTGCCTAGGCATTGAGGGAGACGACTGCCACGGGCTGTGGTGCAGAGCGTGGCATGCGAGGCAGGCTGACATGTTGCTTCATGGTCTTGGGCAGCTGCTAGGAACATCAAACGGGCTGCAGGACGGACATAGTCTGAGGGGGCGGGCAGGATGCGCGACTGGGACTGGATGCTGGGTGCTTTGGTGCTCGGGGAAGAACATCAGCCAGCCGCGCTATGAATGATAACGTCAAGGGCCGCCTCTGATGGATGCGTCCAACGAATGGTAGAGCGTGTGCTTCTGCGTGCAATCTAACCAAACTTGAAACTCGCCAGGAAAGAACGAAGGGCAGCGCCTCCGCGCCCAGGGATGCGCCGTGTAGCCCGCCGCCGTGCAAAGGAGACGACGGCGACGAGCAGCGCAGTCTTCTGGCGACTGACGCGGACGCGAACGTGTGCCATGTCAAAGAGACACAGCGAAGCCATCCAAGACTGCCGTCGTCCGCACTGTCGCATGCGGTGAGGGAGCGCAGCAGCGGTTGGATGAAGGAGGGGTTGTGGTCCGGGTGCGTGTGCTATGGCAGTAGCAAAACAAGCGTGCCTGCCTCGTTCGTACCTTAGGTAAGCAGCTCTGTTGTTCGGGGAGGCGCGCCTGCCCTCTCACAAAATGTGCTGCTGAGCCCTCACCCAATTCCTCCCCTAACAAATCCGCCGCCCATACAACTTTCGCCCGCAAAGACATTTGGTGAGTCCGCCTGTATTTTGCCCAAGTCGCAACCTCACCAGAACCACTTTTCGCAACCACACCCTTTTTCCACGCGTTCCCCCGCCCCAATTCCCTCAACTAGCTCTTTCCCAGCCTTCTTTCTTCCATCTTCCGAACGTCATCGCGTTCGATTGATTCTTCGTCGCCGTCGCCAGCACTCAATACCACGCCCATACTGACTGCAAAACAGACATCAGTCAACCCTTCCAATTCCCTCGTATCTAGCAGCTTCTGTAAGTACCCACATCTTCTCTCACTGTAAAATCGCGCATCACCGCCTTGTGTTGTGGTGTTTTGCAACCGCGTCACCTCACGCGCATAGCACCACTGCGACCCAACCAGCAGCTAACAACAAACAACAGCCGCATACACCACCTAACCAACATCATGCCCAAGGAGAAGACCACCCGCAAGGCTGCGCCCAAGTCCAAGGCTGATGGCGGCAAGAAGAAGAAGGGTACGCATCTCACGTGCATCCGCACGCTTTCGTGCTAACATCCACAGACCCCAACGCGCCCAAGCGTGGTCTTTCCGCATACATGTTCTTCGCCAACGAGCAGCGTGAAAAGGTCCGCGAGGACAACCCCGGTATCAAGTTCGGTATGTCTGCCCTTCATGCTCATCTCCAAGCCTTCTCTAACATTGAACAGGCGAGGTCGGCAAGGTTCTTGGCGAGAAGTGGAAAGCCCTGAACGAGAAGCAGCGCACTCCCTACGAGGCCAAGGCTGCTGCTGACAAGAAGCGCTACGAAGAGGAGAAGGCCGCTTACCAGGTGTGTTTCCGTATTCACGTGGAGATTATGACAGCATGACTAACAGCTATCAGGCCGGCGAGGAAGAGGAAGAGGAGTCCGAGTAGAGGCCAGCACCTCGTTCGTGCTTCCACCAACAATGCTGAAGATGTCTTGTCATAGGAGGCCTAGGCTACCAAGCCTCTCTCATTTCATTTGTGATCTTCCTACTTCTTAATGGGTTCGTTATCTCTTGCGGAGGAAGGTCTTCGGCTAGCCGATCTGTGGTTCATTTCGATAAGGACGGCCGCAGTCAGTACCATTTGCGCTGATGGCAGGCGGTCATGATGTTTGGGCGTCTTACTCTTGACGTTGTGAAGGAACATCACGAAGCTCATGACCAAGTCTATGTACACTAGCAACTGCGGTATAGAAAATATTTGCTGCTCCTATGGTAACTTGTCTGCTATGCGACAGTGATACTCGTGTGATTAGGCCTGAGCGTAGCACGGTGCATGCTCGTGATAGCTCAAACCCCAACTTGGTTCCTGATGTTGACACTACTGTCTTGCCTTATGTTAGGGTCAGGGCATGACAACGTGATGGACCCGTCCTATCCACAGCAACCCTTGGTTCCTTCATTCCAAGCGACGTGTAGCCGTCATCCTACCCTACACCGCCCAACCGGGTACCCGCATCCATGGTAGTTGTTCCTTCCCAGGCTTCTCGTATGTACTCCCATTGTCTCTCACCTTCTCAGTGCGCCCACCCAATTACACATTGTGTATATGATACTTTCAGTCCGACGCTCCTTCATCAATTCATCGTAGCACCAAAGCGCCGTTGGGCTAGTGGTATGCTATCGCCTTCCCATCAAACGAAGGAGGCGGGGATCACGGGTGTAAGTACATGAACGACGCCCATTCGAATCATAGAGCTAACAGCGAGACAGTCAAACCCCGTACGGCGCAGTGCTTCCTTTTTGCTGTAATAGTGAGGTAGGTGGGGTTGTTTTTGCCATGGGTGTCGCGTGGGAGTGACGGTCTGAGGATGCTGAGGAAATGGTGGTCGATGTCATTGTGGCAGAGGTAAGGAAGGTGCGAACAGCAATGTGGCTTTGTTGGGAATCATTGGATTTGTTCGTTGGAACAAAAGGGAAGGATGTTAAGAACCTGATGTATAGTTTGGAGACTTTGAATCAAAGCATACGATGGGCTGTAGCTGCGCAGTAGTGGGTATATCTATTTTTTCGAGTCTGGAACCACCAGAACATCGTTGGGTATGGTCTGCACGCCTTGCCATCTTACGGCAGCAGATGAGCATGGAATAGGTGTTGGGTACGAAGCACGTCAACTGCACTCGTCCCACGCATCCTGTCCACATGCCCGTCAGAGACAAATATCTCGAAACAGAGGAAGATCCTCTACCATCACGCAATTACTATTCTCTCTGCAGAACGACCATCACACCCATCATACCTAACATCACCTGCTTCAGCCATGGATGCTCGCTCAGCAAAATGGTAACATATCCGACAAAAGGTATGAAGCCGACAACGCTTCCGATGACGTCTTCTTTGCGGTTCAGGAAGGACTGGCCGGCGGCGTAGAGTTCGGTATCGTCTGCAAGGTTATTGTCGCCCTTGGTCAGGAGGCGGAGGGGTGTTTTGCTAGGAGTCAAGTCAGCCTGAGCATATGCAAGCTGAGCCAAGCTTCTTCGGCCCTCCCCAACAAACACAGCCAGCGCAAAGATAAGAAAACGCAACTTACCCTCCTCCGTATCTTCTCACGACGCGATGCACGATGGGTATATCTTTGCCCTTGACGTTATATACCACAATCTCGCCCACTTGCGTGTCTGCCCCCCGGTTCCACAAGAATAGTAGATCTCCTCGTTGGAACGCAGGCTCCATGGATCCTGACAAGACGACCACGATAGGTGAGGGCGAGTCGGAGACTACGGAGAGCCCTTTCCACATCATGAAAGCGGTAGAGAGGACCAGCGCAAAGTTTAGGACTTGTGCGGCGAGTTGCCGCGGTTGCATGTTGGCGAGGCCCAGCATTGCTGCGGCTCGGGTGTGTTGATGTGGAGGTCGAAGGCAGAGGTACGTTGGTCGATCTTGGTTTGGGAGGTGGAGCGCGCAAGGGCGTCGTGAAGTCGCGTTCTTGGGAGTGTTTATCTGGAGCGATTGTTTTTTCGGAGAGAGACAGGGGCAGACGTCACAGTAGTTCGCGCGTCGTGGAACCGTGGTCAAGAATGTTGAAGCCAGATTGTCCTTGGATTCGCTGTTGCGGGCAGCTTAGTCAACCTCCGAGATCTGAGCTATGAACTCCGCATCCCCTTCTATCACTTGAACGCGACACCACGCTATATACTTCGAGATAGCAGCACCTATCTCATAAGCTGCCGCATCGCTATGCATCATCTAGTAGACGCTCTTTGGGTTTCTGTAGTGTGTGAAAGTTTCTCAGATCTGTTCTTGTCTCTCACCCGGCATGGCGGCTCTTGCTCGAAGCCGCCTTTACACCGAGAACGTGTCAACGCCATGTCTACTTATATCAGGTTTCCATTTGATCAATCGAATAATCCTTCTGATCCAGCCTTCCTCACTCACTCAGAAGACACGTGTCTGAGCTACAAGTGTCACTGCCTCTACATACCATCAGCGCTACTCCTACTCCGCTGACTCACGAAACACAATCGCGATACTGCTTCAGAAGAATAATGTTTATGCATCCTTCACCAGGTAGCCTTGTACAATACCGAGCGTCCGGGTTATTCCTTCCACTATGGCCGGCAGTGATTTGTACAGATGACATGGCACCAAAAGAGGTTGTGCGCGCCCGCCCGGCTGGGTACGTAACGCTGCTATTGAAGTTGGGCGACAATTTAGAGTTGTAAGAGCCTAGAGATTGAGAGATATGTTAGCTTCGCTAATATAAGTAGTCGCTGGGCGCTTACCACGGAAATGAGCAACTACAATCCATTCGTACCCTTCAGGCACGAAGAGATTGTGGGTAACACACCCGGCTTGGGTAACGCCTACGAAATGGCGAACAATGCGCTTGAAGCATCACTGGGTCTCGATTACTGGCGAGAACAAGTAACGAATACGACCAGCGATGCTGAATATTCGGAAAGTGAAGCAACTGATTCAGATGGAGACACATGCTCAGAACCAGAAATGAGAAAGGCCCTCCGCTTAAGTCGAGAAGAATTCTATGATAAGCAATCCAAAGAAGAAACTGTGAGAAATGCGAAGCTGCCGACGCCGTCTATATCACCACCTATCCCAGCAAGAGGTCTTGGTAATCAGCGCACTATTGTCCCTGTTGATACGGGCGGCTCCTCGCACTTGTTCACATCTTTCTTCGACAGGACTCTCAGTGGCTTGGATCGTGGCCGTAGAGAACCCATCAGTGATGCCGTTGAAGGCGAAATGTATGTTTATTAGCGAGACCTGTAGATTCCTCGGCTAACAAAGCCCAGTCTTCAAAGCAAGGGGTTTGTCCAAGTTCTCGTTGGACCGAACTCCCAAGTCAGCACACTGCAGAAAGAAAGCATATGGAATCGCCCATACTTTCGCGATCCTAGGTTTGGCGTCAACCTCTTTGACCACAACGACGATGGGATATGGAACCTCCAACACCCTGCTCTTGTCGAGATCGACCCAGAAGATTTCATTTTCGCAGCAGAATACCTTGAAAGCGGTGGTTTTGGTTATCGGTACCCGCAAGATGGCGGCGAAATGGAAGAAGCATTTGCACAATGCGTGTCGGCATGGTTTACTGCGGAGAAGTTGGGCATGTCAGACATGATGGATCATGTCGTCGAGAAGCTGGAAGGATGCATAGAACCAGAAATGCAGGACGTCTTGGTTTTCGCATATCAGGTCTATGTCTCGCAAGACACTGCACTTCCCTCGCAAGTGAGGCTAAAGGATTATCTGGCAATGTATATCGCGGAGAACTGGTGGATTTATTTGGACGACGATAACTTGAGCTCGGACTTCATCGAGAAGCTTAAGAGATTACCAGAGCTGGAGCGAGACATCTACGAGAGAAGGCTTCCAGCGCTGCGTGAGCGTCTCAGTGGAGACCAAGAAAACAGTGAAACCGAAATGGAATAAGTACACAAGATCCTCACAGCTTATTCCTACGATATACCACGTTTTCTTTCATGAGGTGGAACCATATGTGGATAGATTAAGATCTTGCATTCCTTGCAACAAGGAAGGACTAGACCACTTTCATCATTGCTGGTGATCAAGCTAGTTGAGAAAAGCTATTTCTTTCGCCAATCATGGTGCAATAGGAAACTCATTGAAATGATCTTATTGAAATGTGAAAATCGAACGACTATTCATCACTCTTCGTAGTGTCGTAAAGAACTGAGAGACAACCTCAGTCAGAGTCGCTTTCAAACTCAGGAACGTTCGGGTCTTCATTCAAATGGTTAGCAGAATACCTTGTTTGTCGCAAGTCCATCAAGCGAACACGTACCTCTAAGTGCCATGTACTCCAACGTACCACCAGCCTTCTCCACAAGGTTATCTCTTATTAGGGTCAGTTCATCTTCCGAAAGCAGCGTATCCGTGTCCGCCATATCTACTGAAAGACGGATGCCTTGATTGCCCGGTCCCAGCCTTGATACAAAATCTAGGAGACCATCCATGGTGAATTTCGATATACCGGAGATGGTGACGGTGCGAAGGTTCGGTAGACTCGCCAAATGAGGTAGTACAATGTCGTTTAGCTCCAAACCGCTGACGTATAGATCCTCTAGCAGAGTGAGATCAGCGATGATGGTGATAAGATGTTCGTCCCGCAAGACCTCGGGGAGGATGAGGTGCAGATCCCGCAACTCTGTCAGTTGTTTTAAGGAGTCCACGAGGATGTCCAAGTCGTCTCGAAACATGCCATCAGTATCGCCACTCAGAAACAGCACCCTCAAGGATGATTGTTGGTGTACCAGAGCTTGGTGAAACGTCTTGTGATCTTTCAGTGTGTACGAATCTATCTCCAGGCTGCTGAGTTGTATCTTCTCTTCCAATAGCACGGGCGTGATGAGTGCGGCTCCGGATTGCAATTTCGAGAAGCTAAGTCGCTGGAGGCCGGCGCACTTGCGTAACCAGGCGGTTGTTTCGAGAAAGATATCGTGCTCTGTTGCTTCCAAGTCTACAGTACCATGGATATCCTCGATGCGAAGTGTCTTCAGAGCTGTGCATCCTTGCAGTAACGACAGATGCGGTATGGAATCGTTAGACACGCATAGTCTCAGATCTTCGAGTGAGTTTCCATGGTGATTGAGAGCCAGGAGTGTTTCGGCGCCTGCCTTGACGTCGCTGATCGTTTGGAGTGTCTGGAGTGTGTTTGGCCGCATCGAGGAAAGGAACTTGGCGAACTTGTGATCATTGTCTTCGGAGACCCAGGTATAGATCATAAGAGATCTAAATTGTGGACAATGGTTGTTGATGGACGCGTGGACCAATTCATCCTCTAGAGGCTTTCCGTCCCATAGTTCGAGGCTTGAGAGGCGAGGAAGGCGGGGCGTCCATCGCACAAGAGCGCCAGGGTGTACTAAATTTTGTCAGATCATTCGCGATATCAGAGAAATTCAGGTCCACTTGCGTTCACCACTGATCATCTCGAGTGTTGGAGTGTGCTGCGTAACCACTGTTCTATGTTACTAGTACATCCTGACGGCATTGCACATTAGTCATACCTTCGCCAATTGCATCGATTATATCCGCCGTCTTTATTCGTGTGTATTTTCTGCCTTTGATGTTTGTCCCTGTTTCAATCTTTTCGAATTGCTTCAACGGCCCCGAGAAGAATTGCCTGAATCGAGATCAGAATTGGCGATGCCTATTAGGGAGCTTTGCTTACTTGGAGACCTTCGCACGGAACTGATCATCGTCAAGGAGATATCCCAGATCGCGAAAGTCTAATGACTTGATGTAACGACAGTATGGGAAAAGTGTAACGTCGAGACTGGATGCGACGATTGAACGCCAGAGAATTGACCATTTCTGTATCGTAAGAAGCTTGGTAGCAGCTGGCAAACCATAGAGATCTTCTCCCCCGCCTCGGACAGGAGCCAGATGATGGGATCTTAGGCTTGTGTTAGTAAAGTGGCGATCAATTAGCGAGCCCAGTGCAACATACTTGTACAGATAAGTCAATGCAGGTACGGCGAGAGCACGGCTGGCACAAGCACAGTTAAAGAGCGTGTCGAATTGTTCTTGATTGGCAAGTTCTTCGCACAGAAGATGCAAAACATCGTCTGGGAGTACTGACTGAGTCATATTGATTAAATCGACAATGGCTGGAGTCGCTCTCAAGAAAGTGACTGGGTGTGCTGCTGTCCCCGTAGAAGTAGGCGCGATGATGTCAATACGCTAGCGCGATTTTGACGCGCTCTTTCCGCTTTCGGTGGCTCTTCGCGATCCGACACCAATATCTCACCAGGATGCGAGCATTTCCGGATAGACACAATGGTTACCCTCAACTTCACCCTAACACCGGAGGCCGCGTCTAAGATTCATGACCTGCTCGTGTGCCTAGGCAAGTTCAGCGAGACCGTGGCAATCGAAGCGCGTCGCGAAAAGGTTGGTTTGCCGCTCTTGTTCTGTTCAGTTTGGCATCTCATACGTTCTGCATCAGTTCACATTTACCGCTCTCAACTCTTCGAAATCCGCCTACGGCGCCATTACGCTAGATGGCCGGCAATTTTTCGCCAACTACAAGTGCGTGCCAACCCATGGCGGACCTGACGGCCGCTTTACCTGCAGCATGTACACAAAAGCACTCTTGTTCGTCTTCAAAAGCCGTTTGTATGACCCACTGGGGCGCGACGGCGCAATCGATCGCTGTGAAGTTAGCGTGCAAGAGCGGGAGAACGAGACACAATGTCGATTCATCGTCAAGATGGTGTGCAACCAGGGCGTCATCAAGACCTACAAACTCACGTATGAAGCTGTCGACATTATGCACGCGCTGTTTGATCGCAGTATAGCGAGAAACAGGTGGAACATGAATGCCGGCGCTATGAAGGAATATGTTGAGTACTTTGGTACCAAAACTGAAATGCTCGATATTTTTACTAGTGGAGACGGCCGCTGCATCTTTAAGAGCTACACAGAAAAGATCTCGAATGGGAAGGAGATCTTAAAGCATCCACTTGTCACTGCTGTCGCGGTCCACACATCCGATTTTGAACGATTCACTGTGCAACCGGGCATGCATATCATTATCAGCGTCAAAGACTTCAAAGCGATCGTTGTTCATGCAGACACACTGAAGACAAGCTTGAGGGCTTTTTACTCTCAAGCAACGCGACCGCTACAGTTCAGCTATGGGTGCGATGGGTTGCTTTGTGAGTTCACGCTAATGACTTCGGGCGACTACAACGGAGCTCCGCCAACACCTGCGCCGCAAGCGATGAGCAGCAGAAAAACATCCCGCACTGCATCAACGAACACATCAGAACGCGGACAGGGTCGTGGCTTCCGATCTGACATGCCTCCGCCTATGCAACCAGCATCACGACGCGATGGGTCCGGCCGACTACGGAATCCAGGATCCCGCCAAGCCTCCACAGCGCAAGCACAGCCTGCCCGTCAGGATTCTGACAGCCTGTTCGTTCCGGAGGACGAAGATGCAGCGTGGGCACCTCTTGACTATGATAAAGAAGAGACGTTAGGCTGGGATGCGAGTGCCAACCACGACGCATCGGCTTTCCCAACATTTACAGACAGCGGCGGTGTGCCAAGGACAAACACAACGGATAACAGCGAGGTTTTTGAGCCTACCCAGCGTGTATCCCAAATCAAGGGACTGTGGTAGCGCTATGGTGTCGATAAACGCAACTCGCAAGTTGAAGTAAACAAAGAAGAATAAGCTACTGTTGCAGAAGAACGTCTCATGCTTCAACAAAACCTGTTCAAGAAGTAGTATACTACCGTTTCAACTAATGTTTCTCTGGTCAACTGTATAACGGTGTAATTTGTCGATTACACTCAGCTTGCCGCAAAGTCATTAGGATTAGCTTCCGGAAACGTGCTGTTTCAAGCAGAGTAGATGCGAGAACACCTTCAGGTATGTCTCAAGCCATTGTGGCTGTATTGTGGATGGATGCTGAGTCGGTTGTGAAAGGGGCAAAGAAGAACAGTCTGGTAGGGTTGTCGCCATTTGCGTGCCCAATAAGCTGGACGATACTCTTAGGAAACCGTAACGACGATGATGGCGACATGTGTGCCGGTCGGCTTACGCAACCCTTGCGACATCTTCTCGTTTATGTATTCGTCCATTGTATTCCAGAGTCCATGTTACGTACGATATTTTTCCGGACAATGTGGTTCTGCAATGTTCATACCACAAATAGGTTCCTCTGCAGGCAATACCGTTGGCACCGACGTGACCATAGCCCATTATATATTGCGAGGGATTATACGCACATGTGTATAACTTCGTGTAAGTAACCCGCTACAGCGTCGGGCATGCAGCTTTCATGCCTTGCGGCAGCAACAAGATGTGAGTCAATGACGTCGAGCTCGCGTACGCGTATCCGCGGATGGTGGGGCTGGCTGGAGAAAATGATACGGACAGTCCTGCTTCTACGTCCAGACCAGTGGAAAGCAACACCTTCATACTCTTTTCGATCGACAATGACACTGAAACGCATTCTGGTAATCGCTGGCTCGGACAGTTCGGGTGGGGCGTACGTACGCGTGCATGCATCCGCCCTTTATCAGCCACACACCACTAACGATCCTGCCACACCAACAGCGGACTAGAAGCCGATCAGAAGGTCATCGCGGCCCATGGCTGCTATGCTATGACTGCTACGACTGCATTGACTGCGCAGAACACGCTCGGCGTACAGGATATACACCACACGCCGCCGGACTTCGTGCGGAAGCAAATTGACGCTGTTTGTGAAGATGTTGGTGTGGATGTGGTCAAGACTGGTAAGACTATGATTATAAAGGACTATCTGATTGATGAATGCGCTGATGAAACACAGGCATGCTTGCCTCCCCCGAGACAATCTTGATTACTGCAGACGCTTTCAGGAGATATAAGATTAACACCACTGTTATTGACCCTGTATGTAGTAGGTTGCATTTCGATGCTCTTAGGTACAGTTCTTATAGCTTTCATTGTGAGCTGACCACATTGAAAGGTAATGGTGTCGACATCGGGCTCACAGCTCCTTCCTGAAACCGCTATCTCAACACTAATTCAACACCTCCTGCCTTGCACTACACTTCTCACTCCGAACCTTCCCGAGGCACAGCTGCTGCTTAAAACCGCTGGCTTGAATCTCTCTGATCCTCAAAACGTCGAAGACATCGTCTCTATAGCACATCAAATCCAGTCACTCGGACCAAAATGGGTATTGCTAAAGGGTGGCCATCTACCATTGACACACGGCCGCGTAGTAACCACACAAGACAGCGAGAAAGAAGTTGTTTTGAACATACTTGTAGGTGATAGTGGAGTCACGATACTGGAAAGCCCCTATCTGCAGTCAAAAAACACGCATGGAACCGGATGTTCGTTAGCATCCGCTATTGCATGTAATTTGGCTAAGGGAATGTCGATGGTCAAGGCGGTGAAGAAGGCAAATCTGTATGTTGAAGCAGGAATCAAGACAGCCGTCGACTTGGGACAGGGAAGTGGCCCAATCAACCACTTCCATTCAGTATACATGCTGCCTTTCACACCAGGGAATTTTATCAGTTACCTGCTGGATCGGGATGATGTGCAAAAGCCGTGGAAAGAGTATACTCAGCACGATTTTGTGCAGAGTATGGGTTCTGGGACATTGCCAGTGGAGAAATTTATGTACTACCTGGTACAAGACTACCTTTTCTTGGTAAGTACACATGCTGTCATGTTTCACTTCATACAGACAGCAGAGTAGCTGACAGATGCGGAGGTTCAATTTGCAAGAGCGAACGCACTATCTGCATACAAGTCAAGCAACCTGAAAGATATCGGCCGCTCCGTGCAACAGGTCGTCACCCTCCAAGAAGAGATACAGCTGCATATCGACTTCTGTAAAGGATACGGACTGTCAGAAGCTGATATCATCAACGAAGAAGAGGACCAAGCCACTACAGCATACACACGCTATGTCCTCGACATCGGCATGTCGCAAGACTATCTCGCCTTACAGATCGCCCTTCTCCCCTGCCTCATCGGTTACGGTATCATTGCTAAACGTCTCTATGAAGATCCCAGCACTGTAAGGGTGGGAAGCAAGTACTGGAAGTGGATTGAGCAATACGTAGCAGAGGAATACAGGGAGGCGATGATGAGGGGGAGTGAGCTGGTAGAGAGACATGCCGAAGGACTAAGTCCGAGCAGAGTCGAAGAGTTAGCTGGCATCTTCATACACGCCACAAATGTGAGTATTTTGATGGAGATGATAGATGATGGTTTGCTAATGCTACAAAGATGGAGAGAGGCTTCTGGGACATGGGCCTCAGAGCTGGCGAGGAAGGAAAGTGAGTATGGAAGGACCTGTGATGCAGCTGGAGGCTGCACGAGACGGATGCAATCATAAGCGTCGTCGGAGTATCATTCCTCAGCATACTCGATCCTGCGTCTGTAGTCTAGGTTAAACAAGATCAAAAGCGAAAACGTACGTGCTTTCATCCCAGGTCTGAAACTAGGCATCAGAGCTTGCAATATGCGGGTCATGATGGAGTTTTCTCCATAGCCACCCAGATGCAAGACCCACAGTGGCGAGATGTTTGTCGGTGTTCCTTGGTGCGCTTCCCCGGGCTGATAACGGCAAGCTCCGCGCTTACCCAACTGGGCGAGACCCTGGCCCTAGCGGCGCTAGCGTCTCAAAAAATGTGCAAGCGCAACAGAGGCAAGGCAACTTTTCCTGTCGCGTTCTGCCTTCTGACTTCCTCTCACTCCAACTCACATCCTCTACTATTTGTGCTTCTTCTACCGCACAACACGCGACATCTGTACAGTCGCTCTACTACATTTAATATTCCCTCGTAGTCTCCAGATTACGATACACACTCCCTCAGACTCGACCGGTTCCCCTTTCACACCAGTCCCTACAAAACACTCGCACATCATGTCTTACGGCGGCGGCGGTTACGGTGGTGGTGGTGGAGGATACGGCGGCGGCGGCGGCGGTCGCGGCGGTGACCGCGGCTACTCGAACGGGTACGAAAACAGCAATGCTGGATATGGGTCTTACAACAACTCGACAAGCCACTATGCATCGTACGGGTAGGACGATACACCCCCTTCACACGGGAGAGGCATCACAGTCGCGGTTCTTGGACAGCCCTCCATCTGCTACATTTCTTCTTACAATTCTGCGCGCAGCCCGAGTCCCATCGTCCTGCCTGGTCGGCTGTCTCTTACAGCTAAGGCGGACGGTAGCGTACTCTTTGCGACAGCGTAGAATTCCCCATCTATCACTCATTCCATCTCATCAACCTTTGCTAACATCTATCTAGTGGCGGCTACGGCGGCGGTTCCAACGGCTACTCCGGTGGTGGAGGCGGCTACGGCGGAGGTGGTGGTGGTTATGGTGGAGGCGGCTTTGGCGGTGGTCGCGATGGCGGTGACCGCATGTCGCAACTCGGCCAGGGCCTGAAGCAGCAATCATGGGGTACGTTCTACATCCGCCCTTGCAAACTCAGCGCAATACTAACGTTTTCTAGACCTCGACACCATGCCCAAATTCGAAAAGTCTTTCTACAAGGAGGACCCCGCTGTTACTGCGCGTTCAGCCGCTGAGGTTGCCGAATACCGCAAGGAGCACCAGATGACCGTCAAGGGTGAGAACATCCCCAAGCCCGTCACAACTTTCGACGAGGCTGGCTTCCCATCCTACGTGATGAACGAGGTCAAGGCTCAGGGTTTCGCAAAGCCCACTGCTATTCAGGCTCAGGGTTGGCCCATGGCTCTCTCTGGTCGCGACGTTGTTGGTGTTGCCGAGACTGGTTCCGGAAAGACGCTTACCTACTGTCTTCCTGCTATCGTCCACATCAACGCTCAGCCTCTGCTCGCCCCTGGTGACGGCCCTATCGTCCTGATCCTCGCCCCCACTCGTGAGCTTGCTGTCCAAATTCAACAAGAGATCAGCAAGTTCGGAAAGTCCTCGCGCATCCGAAACACCTGCGTCTACGGAGGTGTCCCCAAGGGTCCCCAGATCCGTGACCTTGCACGCGGTGTCGAGGTGTGCATCGCCACACCCGGACGTCTCATCGACATGCTTGAGGCGGGCAAGACCAACCTCCGCCGTGTTACCTACCTGGTTCTCGACGAGGCTGACCGCATGCTTGACATGGGTTTCGAGCCTCAAATCCGCAAGATTATTGGTCAAATTCGTCCTGACCGTCAAACCTGCATGTGGTCCGCTACATGGCCCAAGGAAGTCCGCCAGCTTGCTGCCGACTACCAAAAGGACTGGATCCAGGTCAACATCGGTTCCATGGATCTGTCTGCTAACCACCGCATTCAACAAATCGTTGAGGTCTGCACCGAATTCGAGAAGCGTGACCGCATGGCCAAGCACCTCGAGACTATCATGAGCGACAAGGACAACAAGATTTTGATCTTCACAGGCACCAAGCGCGTTGCTGACGAGATCACCCGATTCCTTCGTCAGGACGGCTGGCCGGCGCTTTGTAAGTTTGACTGCAACATCCGTTACGAGCATTGCTAACCCATCTCTAGCCATTCACGGTGACAAGCAGCAGAACGAGCGCGACTGGGTCTTGAACGAATTCAAGACGGGCAAGAGCCCCATCATGGTTGCCACCGACGTGGCTTCCCGTGGTATCGGTATGATTGCAAACCCC